GCGATGAAGGCGCTTATCTCGGTATCGCTACCGTAGCGATAATTGCAATGGCTCATTTATCCCACAGAACATGTAAATATCAAGTGGAGGAGAGATTTGCAGTTCGGTAACACTGGAGCAATTCTGATAGTTGGGTGATCTTCCGTTAGAGAAAGATGAGATTTCGGAGAGTAAATGATCAAATTCACACATTCTAATAGCTTAAATATGAGAAGCTCCAAAATGTGGACACAAATAAGGTATCATACTAATGTTGTGCGGGAGTCCCCGAATCGGGGTCCCCGTTCCCGAGCATTTTCGAGCGGCGGCTATTTTCGGGGACTCTCCCCGTCCACGAATTCCCGTTCCCGTTCCCGACTCATTTTTCTCTCCCCGCACAATACTATATCATACTATGTGATACCTAATTGGTATCGAAAGGTATGATATCTCAACAAAATTTATTCTTTCCAGTTAATTCATGCCCTTTTTATTATGGTATCATAAGATTACACAATCTTGTTGACCAAACTAAAGCAGGAGACTATTTGATGGTGATACTTTATAATTGTTATCAATTTCCTCGATCTTCGAAATCGCTTTCATCTACATGAATGAACAGATGCGGTCAAGGATTGATTTTTTGGAAAAATTAAAATGGGAAATTATAACCATTTCGAAGAGCCATTCAAAAGGGCCTATTTTGAGCGACATTTTAAAAGAACCTCGAAAAAAATGTCAACATTCAAAACTCATTGCTTTCTAAAAGATAGCTGATTCAATTGTGCACAAAAGAGTTTCATGAATAATGAGTTGAATAAAATATCAGTTGAACTGACACCGAGATTGTGCTGATTCTCAACGGCGTTTTGCTATTATAACGACGATTATTAAAATCATTAAAATTTTATATCCATTCACCATTCATTCAATGCCAAATTTTTGTGAATGCGAATGATTCAACGAGCGTTTTGGATGGGATGAATCAACATTCAATAAGCAGTAAATCAACAAGCGAAGATCAGTGAATACCTATGCACTTTTTTGCCGATAAAAAAATATTAGAGTATCGATACAATTGATTTATGGGAGCATTTTTAAAGATTTGCGTTCGAAGAATTAGGTTATCGACATTAAAAATTTGTTAATAATCTTTTCTTTTGTGAGTGGGACTGTACAGTGCAAAGGCGCTATGCGTCATTTAGTTGTATCGGTGTATCGTCATTTAGTTTCACGAGATACTCCATCGGTGATATCCATGAAGAAATATCCGAATCGATTATCTATCATCTATTCTCATTATAAATGTCGAAAAAATTATTTTCTCATGGACGATTTTTTAGGATTCGTTCGTTCTTCCGCATTCAGTTACACAAAGATTCTCCCCTTGGTTTGCAAACACGTTTCTGTTCGAAGGATTGCCGGATGTGCAGAAGTATAGATTTCATTCTGATTGACCACTACGAGATTACATTGGAATTCTTTAGAATTCATACGATATAAGTGCTGATTTTACAGCAAAGCCCGCTCAGTTTTGCTTATTGACTTGACTACAGTGTGCTAATAATAAATGTATATATCACTGATCCCACTAACGGTGATTTAGAAAGAAATGCTGATGATTTGGGAAATAATGATGGTTTCAGAACGTTTTGCTGATGGGCCAGCATTAGCAAAAACAATTTCAGCAGTAGATCTTTGTTGGAATGAAAAGTGTCGTCATTCTTAGTGGATGTGGAATAAAAAATTGTTCCATTAATATTAAATTGTTACATGAGAATTGCCTGTTAAAAAGAATCTATTCTGTGAGAGTATTCTCAATTCGAATTGACCATGTCATCATTATCAAATCTGCATGAGAATACTACCGAACAACAGTTGATTATAAACTGGATTCAATGAAATCGCTTTGTCGTTTCGCAATAAAATTGGATTCGTTGTTGTAATGTCACTTGCCAAAATCAACTCGTGTTAATCATAAAATCTTTTCACTTCTTTTCACTTGAACTCATTTAATGACCATCGAAAATGGAGCAATTGCTAATAATGAAACATTAGAAACAACACGCGATTCACACACAAACGATTCTGATCAGAGTGGCGACTTCACAAGACATTCCAGTGAATTATGTACGACGAAGTGACGATCCGTTCCGCTTATCTCTCCTCCAATCTACGTTCATCGATTTCACATACATAAAACAGTGATGTGAGTGTACATAAACTGATTCGTTGTTTCGCAAGATTTTAATCCGATTGAGTGTGCAAACACATAATTTGATATTGTCGATTAGTAAGTGCACTGAAAATGAGTGACAGACGGATTTCGGCACTGTTTCTTTTGCGTGAGATTGGGATCACTGCCTAATTAAAACATCCATTTGACGATACAATGTCAAATTGCTCAGTGTCAATTGGAATGAAGAGTCAATGATGAAAGTTTTTTATCCTCTCTCGAATGAAACTCATCTCTAGAATTCGCTGGGAGCTTCGATCCATCCAGTGTACCTAAGCCAGTATCGATGAAAAGAGGATGGAAGCGGAGATGAATTTCAGTGTGATGCCAGACTCAGCTCGTGAACGTTCACCTAGTACGAAACATTGATTCGATACAAGTGGATCGAAGCGATTCTGATTATGGAACGTTTTGTAAAACAACTGATGAGTGTCATCTCAGTCTTCAGTATACTCTTTCGCTAAATTGCATTCATTATTAAATTAATTTTGGATGACAATAGTTTCGCTTTCTAATGATTTTTCAACGACAGACAGATAGATGATGACGTCTTTGATAGTAGATAATAACCACAGCGATCGAATAAAATCAAATTCTATGGATGAATAATTTGGTTATTCGTATGGTATTCTATTAACGAATTCTTTATTCGTTCGATGGATGGATGCGTTCATCTTCATACCATTGAATGTTCCTTCCGTCTAAATCCATCGATGACCCGACGACTCACCTAATTTATCCATTCATTCACTCTTCACATCTCATATACATATTATTCAATCATAGCCGATCTTCATTCAGCAATCGGCATTCTTATTCTTCAATTAAACTCTCATCAAATCCTAATCTTTTGACATCCTTTCTTCCTTCCTTCCGCCTTTATCTGATCTCTTCTAATCGTTTCAAATAAACGTCTAATTCGTTGTAGGCATATATCCTCTTGTGGGTTTGTGTTAAGTGATGAAGATTTTCATCATTTATTTGTTTATTTTTTCGAGTATTGCGTTTTCATTGTTGATTGATTCGATCGGTTGTCGGTCAACTGTTTATTTTTGTCATTTATGCATAAAGTTCATTTGTTTAATGTGGATATTTCCGCCTCATTCATTCATATCTTCTAAAAATTACAATCTCATTTGATCGTCCAATTATTTTGATCATTCATTAGCATACATCATCAAGATGTTGAAAAATATCAAATTCCCAAGTGCTGAATTCAGTTTTTTCAACATTCCATTTATCGCGTTGTTTGGGAAAGATACTTTGAAATCGCTAACGAATTTGTATACTTCGATCGTGATGTAAGTGAAAAGCTAGCATTTGTTGCCATGAATGTCGATTTTCCGCTTTTAACATTTGATCAACAATTAGATCAGAGGTCATTGGCTTTTATTGAAACGTTCGAAAAATCTCAGAGCTCCATTTGAAAATGGTCCTCCTGACGGCATATTTTTGGCCTCATTTAGCTTGAGCATAAATATTTCTCAGAAGAAGTGCAATTTGCAACAAATCGCTCGGAAAATTCGATCGTTTAGCGAAGAAAACGGTTCTTTTGGAATGTATAATCGCACTAACAATTTGAAAATCATAATTTGAAAAATTGCCGTTAACTGTTCTCCAAATTTATGAGTACCATTTGCAGAATGGTATTCTAATGAAAAGTCCAATCACAGAAGGTCACCATTTCATTCGGCATTCTCCTCCTTACCATTATAATTTGACTCAAATTGTTCCAATTTCTGATTTTTTGCTTCTTCAGAAATCAAACGACTTCAATTCGATGAGATTTTTAAGATCTCCTCAAGTATTTTTGAACATTGTTATTGTTTGAAAAAACCAAATTCTATTATCATTTAATGCGTTTGTTTGAATGTAAACGTATTCATCCAAGAGAATGAACGACTAAAATATTGGATTAATCGTAAAATTGTGCTCGAATTTGAACGCTTTATTATTTGACAGGTCAACTTAGCATTCAGCAGCGAGTTTAAAATTTCATGGTATATGACATCGATAAGTGAATATTTGTGCAGTCAACTTGGAGAATTCACATTCTGTCGGCTATATTACAATTATTCCCATCAAATTCCCATTATTCTCGCATTGCAGTTTGCTCACAAATGTTCCGATGTGTTATTGGAAGCTAATTGATGCGGAAGTGAGATGATATAGTGATATGAGCCACATATATTATCTCTCATAATATTATTTTTACGTTTATATCACCATTGTTATTGTTAACTTTATCAGTTAAATAACTGATCCATAGACTGTTTATATCACTTATTCAATACCTCCAATTATACAATGATGAAACTGAATGAGATATTGTACATATTTATTTCGGTATTTTTGCACAGTTCGGCAGCATCTGGTATGTTTTCTTTGCATATTAATTCTATATACCCATTCTTATCCAGCAACAATCATTAAACTCGTCTCAGTTTTTGAGGCCGTCCCTAAAACTATAGTTGGGCCGGTGACCGCCAAACGCGAGGACCCTCAAAAATCGGTCGTCAATTGGGGTTCCCCGAATCTTGGGGCCCCCGATTTTCAATTGCCCTCGATTTCTGGGGGCCTTTGACCGCAACCACAAAGGCTTGTCCGGTTGGTGGCCTCGGTAAACCGAACTTCGGTTACCACCGACCGACAACCGACCGATGCCCGAAAATTTCACGTCGGTGGCAACCGGCTGGGCATTCGGTTGGGGACTACCGGTTCGCAACACTGCTTAGAACGCTTAGTATCATGATTGAAATATTCAAAGGAACTGAATTACGGCGAGCTTTTCGGATCGAAACTCAGTGAATGAAGAATTTAAGCTTCATGTTGGGTAGAATGAGGAATTGAGCAATCAGTCTATTGGTACGAGTCCCCAAGCATTATTTTCAATTGTTCAAACTTCATCGACTCCAAAATTCAATATTCGTCTGGAATGAATGTGCAATTTCACCAATAAATTCAAACTTAATTTAAGATGATTGTAAAACGAAATTTCTCGCTAGACAAATCAATTACAGTGACATGTCAACAATGGATTTCTATTTCACAAGGTATGTTTTGCTTTATATTACGTGTACGATTGAGATTTCGTTTAATGAAGTGGTTCGGGTACACCATTGCCCCCTTCGATGGTCAGGCAGACTATCATTACTCCCACCCATCCAGCTACATTATTCCCTACCATTAGGGCATCTGCGGCTTTAGTGGTTGTTTCCAAACTCGAGCATAACAGAGCTGGAGACGTTTAACCATCAATAACAACTGAACGAACTACTAATTTCCCAACCCTTTCGGTATCCCTTTGACACTCCCAAATTACCCTAAAATGGGTATGTTCCCCCTCCCTATGGGAACCCTTAGTTTAATGAATCAAACAGCTGAATTTATCTGTAGAAATAAATTTGTCTATTGCATTAAGTTACTTTATGATACGTAATTGCATTTTGTCGCGTTTTAAGCATGTAAGGTTTTCGGAATTATCTAATACACTTGAAGCCGATCCGAAAGTTGTCAATTTGCAGTTCAAATATTTCATCAGCAATCGAATGTGCTTCATTATGTGTACAAAGTGAGTATTGTCAAACGGCAGTCTTCAATCAGCTATTACAAACATGTTCAGAGTGTTACGATTGGATGGTCGATTGTAGGTACGATTGAATTCAGTGATGCCTTCTAAGTTCATATCGCTGCACTTTCAATGAACTGAAAGTACTTGATTACCTAATATCGCAGATAGTTCGCTTGAACTCAGCTAACGAGAGTCACCAGATTCTATCGAGATTATTTTGATGAATCAATGTTGAAGTTTTTGTCATATGTAGTGATTCGGATGCATTTCACTTTTAATGAGAGCAGTGCAATGACGATGAGTGAAAATTATTTCTCCACTTCGTTTTATCCTGATAATTGCTCTTAAGGCAAACTTATTAAATAATATGCAAAGAGTGCGTGAATTTTAGTTAGAACCCATGACTCGAGATTAATTGTCATGGAGAATGCATTTACAGGACNCATAAAGAACGATATGAATCATTCAGCAGTAACGACAGCCGTCTAGTACTGATTGCATGTGTTGATATTTGTCAGCCAGGTTTGTTTCATAGGTCGTTCATCTCCATAATCCAAAGTTACATCAGGCAGAACTTAACGATTCCTTGCCATATTTTAATGCATTTCCATGCGTAACAACCAGAAGAGACTTCTTTATTCAGACTGAATTCAAATTAATAATCATTTCTTACCGTTTCTGTCTTTAATTCATAAAGTAACGCCAATCCCTTCGATAACAAATCGTCTTCTATGCTTCCAAAAGTTGATCTTAACGATTGAATATAATATTTAAAAAACGCATAATATATTTCAATGAATGCTATTTAAGCAGTTAAATAATAGTATTGCTAGTAATTTCTTTGTTATTGTTAGCGATTTCACCATTACTCTATAGTTCTTAGAAGTTCTCATATTTAGCTATCCCGTAGAAATATTGATATTTTGGAAAATCTTGATTGGTGTGATTAAACATTAATTTCAGAGGAATATCGCTCAAATGTAATAACGAATCTCGGTACAAATAAATTGCATTCATCGACCAGAACGAATGTCTCAAAAGATCTATCAAGTGATCATTCACTATCATCACATACATTATCGAGAGGCAGCAATGGTATAGAGGATAGGAAAAACCGGCCACGATATGCGTATAGATTTATTTTTCACAGGCTGAAAGCTCAGAATGCTTTGAACAATCACAGTAGTATTCCATCGCAAGCAAACCAAACCGCTGATGANTGATCAAATGTCAAATGTCACGAATGAACAGAAACCTTCGCAAAAGGCTGAACGTGATGAAGAGCATGATCCTGATGATAGGCAGGGCGAACGAGCCTTTCCTTATCTGGAACGGGAGAAACACCCGAACTCCAAGAAGAAATCAATGGATTCGAAGGAAGGGGAAGGAGATGGGAAAGGATTCCTTAACAAATTCATAATCGAACGCATTAATGGTGATTTGAAGAACACTGGAAATAATAAGTCCCTAAGTGATAAGTGGAAGTCATGGAAAGGTAACACAATAATTTTATTGCTTTCCCTGTTTCCTTTCGTTGTGAGTGATTAATATTTTTGTTGCTGATATCTCTCTAAAGTACATTTTATGCTATAGAAGATGCTCAGACTATATCATTGAAATAATTATACCGATTTGAAGGGATTTCCAAAAGAAGTTGTGTGAGCAGGATTATTCAAGGCATTCAAGCATGCAATCATTTTCATGTGATACAAATTTCAGCAACAATTTCTGAAGCCGATAAATGTTTCAATATGGTTCCAAATCAGTTTCTTTTGAACGCTGGTTATCAGGCTTTTTCCGAAGTTTCACGAGATCAGTGCAGGTTATCATTTTGTCAAAAAATCCGAAAGTATCAAAGTAGATCACTTGTATCCGTTCACAATATACATCGGACATATGTACACGTTTTATCATATATCTTTATGACAAGTATTATGTCACATCTTTATGACACAATGCATATCGGACATTTTTCATTACCTATCCTTATGGCAACAATGACAATCTCTATCATTATGACGCATTTATGACAACTATTATCGTTAATTGTCAATTTGACGATAATATTGTCATAACCTATCATCATAGTATTTAGCATCATTTAAATTGAAGATGTCTGTGTGCAAAAACATGGTCAGCAAAATGGTCGTCTAAAAAGTGTAAAAGTTTTCAATACAATGCAAAACGCGAATGCCTTCTGAACAAGGATGATCACTTTGGAAAATACGATCTTGTTTACGATAGAACTGCTGAATATCATTTTCTTAATTGCTCACGTCCTGGTAAGAACTTATTCTCTTCTATCCCAAAATGCAACTGAAAATTTCCGGTCATTCCTCTTCGTTGTTCGATTACAATAATGGATCATATTGAGTCAAGTAAATTTTCACGGAACATTATTTCTCTCAAAGTCTTTAGCGATCTTTAACAGAACCACAAAATTTCACGCCAACCCTCATGAAAGCAACATTTTAGCTTGATCGCATTATCGTCAGTCTGTTTTGACAATTTCAGAGTTTCCATCGCTGGCTTTTGTCCGGTGTTTCGATGATGGAAACGGTTCACATGGTGAAAATAATGTGATGGAGGATTTTAATAAATTCAGCAATTCGTTCATTTCATCGATACCAAATGATCCCACACTCTCTATGTCATATTATTGCAAGCTACTAAACTGGAAATATATCTCAAATTGCAATAAGAAACCGGTAAAGTCGTCCAAAAAGTCACCACTCACTTTTGATGCAAACACCTCAACATTTCCACCAACAACAACCAGTCCGACCACTACTATCTTTGTTGCTCCTACCACAGAATCGACCTCAACAACTCAAATCCAAACTACCGTCGAACAAAAACTTTCTTCAAGCACAACTCAAGAATCTACAACTTCAACATCTGAAGTTACTCTACCACTGTTATCAACAATTTTCACATATAACTTTACGCCAGTGAGCACCACCGAGTCATCGACTACTCCAGCTCAAACTTCTGCAGCAATCACGACAGATACATCAACTCAAGCCACATCCACCGCAACAACTGAAATTATAGTCGAAATGAATGCTCCTAAAAAAGGTTAGTGCTAAGCACTCATAGTTCACAGATATTTGCACAGATTCTCCGCGAGTTTCGACCAAATAAGTCAATTTTTATTGAAATTTCATGCAAAGTTAATGAATAGTAGAGAGGACCGCAATGTTTATAGATGTTCGCACAAATTAAATCCTCAACAAACAACGAATTAAAATTGAAGCATTTTAAGATACCCTTGATCGGATGAACGGTACCGAGATTCCAGAATCTGCAACGACGTTCAAGTCGTGCTTTCGAGTGAGTTGTTTCTTATTTACAATTGCTTCTCTTTACTTACTTTCCCACTGATCTCCGAAAAGTTGCGTCTCATCATCATATCCAATGCAGGGTCAATGAAAGCACTCATAGCCAACGTTCTGTTGTAGATCATGAAAGGCCGTCCACTTCATTGCAAAAATTCCGCGTCAAATGGCGATTGTTCTACATTTTCACTGAATTTCATTGCTAGGAGTGTTTCAGGTCGTTGATGGCTATATAATAAAAAGTGTGGCAGGTGCCCTCGAAAGTGATGTTTCACTGGAAGAATGTCAATGCTTTTGTGCGATGAGCAGGTAGAGTTACTTATGAAAACACTCCACTGTTTCAGTCGTTATTATTCCATTAGTGTCGCTTGAATGGAACTACTTTCTCACCTTTCTTTATAAGTACTCAACGATTCATTCAGTACTGATTAGTTTTGGCATTTATTTTGCTATTATTAAATTTGAAATTCGTTCTTCGTTTAGAAATTTAACAAGGCATTCATTTCAATGTGCCTCCACAACATACTATCATAATGAACGCGATTGCGTTTTGAATGTGGATACTACTCATGGACATTCGAACATAGGTGATGAAGACAATGGCTATAGGAAACAAATGAATGTTAGCTACAGCAAAATGCTATGCACATCAGGTTTTGTGCTTTCTTTGATAATTCATTTCATCATTTAACACTTGTTATGTAATTGTTTAAAAATGGCTCACTTATAGTCTGTTTGAATCTCCCCGTATAAAGGTCACTCTAAACTGGTTGGTATGTAGAGCAGTTCGAATGCTCGGCTACCTGTAACGTGTAGAACTATTCCGTTATTTGTATTAGCCTAACTCTATAAGCCCAATCTGATTTTGATAACACTTCCCATTACTTATAAAATTTGCCTTAAGTACAAATTATTAACTAATCATTGATGGTTCAAGTAACACTCCACAACAAACGAACCACCTAAGAGATCATGAGTTAGGATCGCTCGTTAATTGTGAGACGCTAGTATTTCAATATCGCACAATTTTGAGAATATTGCCTGACTTTGGACAGAACTGAATGACATAGCAGTAATACAAAATATTGCCAATAAATTTTTAAATATACAGAGGAATCAATTGGTTTGATTCCGAATGAACTCCGTGATAATAACTGTCGTCTTGAATCATCTACTACGTCTCTGACAACGATTGCAGCGACAACACGATCAAGCACTCCAGAAAGTAAGTAATACTTCGGAATCTTCATTTTCAGAACCATTATTACATTTCTTCATCTTTGAAATCACCGATTACTGTCTCGAATTAAATGAATTAATAAAAGTTCAGGATATAGTGATGAGTGTTTTGTGGAGTTACCAGATTTTGTGCTGGAAGGAACAGCACTTGCCGTAGAAGATAACGTCACAATAGAGCAATGTAAATGTTTCTGTATTGACGCATATCGTCGATACGGCGTTGAATGTCAAAGTGTGCAGTTCTATTTCGGATCGAAAACATGCCTCATCAACAAGGACAACCGGTACGGTATATTTCTCGTTCTGTGTTTATATACTGCAACGGATTTTGTAATGAGCTGTGCTTCAGTTGAGTTATCACCAAATTGATTTTTGGCCATTCTCTTTTTTTT